ACATGTGGATAAATCCAAGAATAAAAGCTCCCATCAGTCCTAAAGGCTGGCTTCCTCAGTACGTTGTTAATGTTGACATTGCCTTCTTCCTGCAAGAATTAGAAGTCTTTCCAGCTATGTGTCTCCCAGAAGTATACTTCTAGTTCAGCTACCCACCCTCCAAAACAACCTACATTTGCTGATTCTCAAGAAACATGCTGGCCAAGGCTGACAAAGCCACTATAAGTGATGGTCCTCTTTTCCCCGTAGGAAGACTGGGTGACACTAAAAGCTCCAGAAATCTTGTCCCTAAATGGCTTAACCTTCAGAAGAGAACAAATATTGAATGTAAAGACTGGTCTTTGAGTCTCAGCGCACATGGCAACTCCTCTCCCCCTGAGATATTATCTGGCCCTCCACCTAGAAACCATGGCTTTTCTCAGGGGAGCATGACTGGAGCTCGGAAATAGCAGCTCTTTTGAATCATTATTCAAAGATAATCACTGCTCCTTTCTCTCAGTTTTGTCTCCACCTCCAAAAGTGGCCTTGTGTTAGTGATGGCTCAGGCAGTGTAAAACTGTTGGTTTCACCATTGGCTAAAGCAGCATAAAATCAGTTCTGCTGTCCAGTCGGTTTCGAGAATAACTTCCTGTGCCGCAGTGGCATTTTCACAGGTATCCCTGTCGACCTGTTGACTAAACCACCCGAGTAACTAGTACTAGGTAATGTGATGCTTTGTGTCCTTGAATTAGAGCTGTGGAGAAATAGAAATTATCAGGGTGAATTGCTGTTGTTGTTTGCTTTCCATAAAGTTATGTTTCTTGTAAGACAGGGTTTAGCATCTTTTCTTTCCATTTCCCCCTTTTCAACCCCTCTTATTTTTTTAAAAAAAATTTTAATGTTTTAATCTATTTTTGAGAGAAAGAGAGAGCGCACAAACAGGGGAGGGGCAGAAGGAGAGAGAGACAGAGTCCAAAGCAGGCTCCAGGCTCCGAGCTGTGAGCATAGAGCCTGACGCAGGGGTCGAACTCATGAACTGCGAGATCTGAACCTGAGCCCAAGTCTGATGCTTAACTGACTGAGACACCCAGGTCCCCCTTTCTTCAAGTCGCTTTACAGGGAATACACCAAAGCACCTGAAGGATGAAACCAATAGCAAAAGGGTGAGTGTCCTGTTGGTTACTACCCTTCAGCCTTGGAATGTTTCTCCATTGGTAAGCAATGAAACAATGGAATGGGAAATGCAAGAAAGCAGCAACCTGTGTTGTCTGCTTCCCACCCTTCAGCAACGCAATTGCATTAGGAGTATGGAAAAACTGACATATTACCAACCAACCCCCGAATTATTGGTTAGCACCTTAATTAGCAGCTAATTGGAAACTAACACTCAGGTTTTCAGTCAGTCTTTGCGAGGGATTTAAATGGTAATCAGCAAGAATGAGTTCCCTAGCCCTGCCAACCAAAAAATGGGGGGGGGGGGGAGAATTTTTTTCTTATTCTAAGCTTTTTCCAAAGGAAATTCTGTTTTTTTATGAAAAGCACATTTTGTATTTGTGAAATAATTAGGCAGCTGAGTGTGAGGTGAAACTTATCTTACTTGATCCGACTTTCTATTGGAAATCCTTAAAAATAATAAGCACTCAATAAATGCTCTGTGAATTCAGGACTAAACCCACACTCTTACACACAAGTTCATGGCAATGCACTCGGTTTATATGGGAGAAACTGAGATCCAATACATGGCCATGAAGCCGGGCCAGGTTTCCCTGTTCCTATTCCAGCCTTTTTCCTGCTAAACGCTCTACTGACATGAAGCAGGAATTGTATTAAATACCCTCCCACTCAAGAGCCCAAGATTCTTTGGGACAGTAAGCTGATAAGAGCTCGTGACAGCTGGTATGTAGATATAATTTTTATTTTTTGCATTTCTATGGACCAACAAATGAAAATAAATGTAGCTGTCAAAGGTAAATTCAATCACCTGTCTGATGGACAATATATTAGCCTATTTTTATACCACATTTAGGATTATTAATTATATACAACTATAATCATTGTTCTACTCATTCTCCCTTGATGTTCTGTGAGCTATTTAAAGGTGGGTACAATATTCCACTCTCAGTCCCTGTGCATGGCACCCTGGTCCAAGGAAGTTGCTCTCTAAATATCTAAATTAATTCATTAGTTAATTAACTAGTAATAATGAAAACAATTGGCTTAAAGGCATCAGATGGTCATACATACACACAGAAAGACACAGAAACAAATCAAAGGTAGTCACTAACCCAATGATGATAAGAATTGACATATATTGTGGGCCAAATCAAGATGGACACTAAACCAATTCATACTCTTGCATTTCCTGGGTCAAGAGTTAGTCCCAGGACATTTAACGTAATCCACGCACTCCCTCACTCTCCAACACTCATGGCTTTACCACCACAGCCTGTGTTGAGACCACCGGACCTGTGTGATTTTATCCCTGATATGTCAGTTACCACAAGAAGTCCGAGATTCCCAGGGTTCATCTTCCCCAGTCTAAATTCCATATAATTCCACACCACCACTTCCATCTTGTCCATTTCTCTGACCTTTCCTTGACTCCAGAAGGTCGTCCACTGTATTCTCTGAAACTCACCATTCCTATCATTAGCAAAACCCACCAGGATGTCAGTCTCTGTTCTGAAATCTCCCTTTCCCATTTTCTCTAATTAAAACCTAGATGCCCTATGAGCACATTGCTTCTTCTGCTGTCTTCTCACACTGCACCTCATTTTTCTCCCATTGCCTCCTTTTACACTACATCTGGAGGCCAGAGAGCTGTCCACCTTGATTCTTCATTACTGTCTCCAGACCGTTCTCCCTTCCTCCTCCCTAAACACTGTCAGTTTTGATTCTCCTGTCACCAGGCGAAATTACTCACTCTGCCCTACTGTGGTGACTTCTAATGGCTGCTGGGCCATTCCCCAATCATTTCCCAAAGCTGTTATTTCCTGGTGCACTGACATTTTCTCCAACGTGACTCCTGTCTTAATTCTCAGCAATTTCATGATAGCCATATGTGATACTCCAATGTTCCAAAGTCTCAATTCCTTGAAGCTTTCTCCTCTGAGGATTTTGTCTTTACTCTCACTCAGATGCTCATTCCCATGGTCATAACCTCGATTCTGTCATGTCAGCTCTTCCATATCTCCATCTCAATCATCACTCTGTCCACCACCCCCTATCTGTCCATCCGACTCCTTCTCTTACATCAACTCAAATGATTCTTCAACTCATGCTGAACGTAAGTGGTTCTACCCCCTCTGCCTTTGTCCTTCAATCCTCATGTCTTCTCTTACCTCCTTGACCAGATTTAACTTCGGAGTCCAACATTAAAATCTTTCTTTTGCAGTAACCCTCAACTCCCTTGATACTCTCTGGCTTTGTTGTACTGTCTTAGAAGAACAATCACCTGGTTAAAACCAACTCTCTTCCTCTTGTGCACCAGTAGCTATGCAAGTGAATGTGGCTGGGTAAAATCACACAGCCACGCTTACTGGAATTACCTTACAGTCATGCCCAATACCTGCGTGCAGATAGTTCATGTCATCCATGTACTCCTTCACTCTCCAACATTCATACTTTTATGATGTCCTCTCTCTTTAAACCTCTACAACTGCCTACCCCATCTTTACTATCAGCTGATGAGATCACTTACTCTATCACCGAGAAATCTGCAGTGATCAGAAGAGAATTTCCACATGCTCGCACCATCACATATACTCACCTGCCAGCAGCTGTACTCACATACTCTACCTTCTCCCTGTTACCATAGATTAATTATACATTGTTCTGCCTCAAGTCATTCCTTCTGATCTATGTGTTAGTTCCCATTTCCTCTCACTCTAGACACTGATTGCCCCAGCTGTTCTCCTCGATCTTTCCTACATGATCATTCTTTCTCCACTATTCTAGATTGTTCCTATCAGCATACAAACACATGTTGCGACTCCTGTCTTTAAAAAATAACCTTGGGTGCACTTTGCCATCCAGGCACCACCACATTTTTGTTTTATCCATTGCAGCAAAACTCCTTGAGTTGTCTATACTTGTATATCCAATTCCTTTCCTTCCATTCTCTCATCTTCAAATAGGCTTTCACTCATACCACTTCATACTAAACTGCTCTTCTCATGGTCACCAATGATGATGACATTGCTATAGACGATGGTCAAGTCTCAGTGGTCATCTATCACCAGTATTTGGCACAATGCTCCTTAAACAGTGTCTGGCTTAAATATCTGGATTTTGTGATCTATTTTATTCTTTTCCTTTCACCTTGTAGGCTTTCCTTTCTCAGTCTCCTTTGCCATCTTCTTTTCTTCCCAAACTTTAAAGTAGGAGGGCCAAGGGATCTCTACTCATAGCTCTTCTCTAAAATATATTTACTATGTTGGTGATTTTATTCAGTCTCATGTCCTTATATACCATCTATATGCTAATGACTCCCCAATCACATCTTCAGCCTCTCTGCTAAACTCCAGACTTGTATATACAGTTGCCTACTTGACATTTCCACTTAGATGTCTAATAAATATTTAATACATATCTCAAATTCAGGATTCAAAACAAGAGCTCCTAATCTTCCTACACCAAAGCCTGATCCTAGTGCAGTCTTGTCCATCTTGGTTAACAGTAGATTCTTTGGCTATACCTTAAAATATATCCAGAATCTGCCTCTTTTGAACCCCTCCAGCAGTCTCACCTTTAGACCCAGAGAAGAGGTGCCTTTTCTCTTAACTTCTTTAGAGGGCCCTGCCTATCCAAAACACACACAAATAAATTTGTTAAGGAACACATGGACAGTTTTTATAATGTGAGAACAAACATTCAGCACCGACAAAATACAATCTGTAACCCTAACTATCAATTTTCCTGATGAATATCATTCAGGCGCCAGAGAAACACTTAGATCATTTGCTCTGTATTCTTGGAAAAATAAATAACTGCATATAAATGCTGCGAAGACTCACAGTTTGTATGGCTGCTGAAATTGAAGATGGACACTGCATTGGAGTATGGGGGAGGATCTGAGACGCAGAAGCCCCTAAAAAATGAAAAGAGCAAATTGACTTATCAAATCCTCCCTCTCAAATAGCATAAATGCAGTAGAATCTTGGGGAACAAAATATTGTTTCCTAGCAGTGGTGTGTCCACTTTCTTGCTTTCTTTTGTGTTCTAGTTCATGGTTCCAGAAGGAGTTACGAATTAGTTCAGTATTCACAATTGGACATGGCAGCTGAGGAATATTTTCTCATATTAAACAATTCATATCTGTTTAAATTTCAAGTGTAAATTTCTTTAAATTTCCACATAACTTGTGGGAAGCATGAAACCAACTTTTTAAAATTACTATACACCTATATATTACTTTAAGGTTTTGTGACATTTGTGTACATCCTGGTGAATTAAATGATGAAATTTAAATATATTGTAATATTTTCTGCAGTAATGAAATTGGTCAAATGCACTCCATTACACTATTTGATTGTGGCAAGTAAAATCTATGGTTCATTCATGAATCTAAGTATTGCTCTAACAATTTTATTTGCAATTTCAGTTGCTATTGCCTCACAGATAAAGTTTCCCCAAATTGAAATTATTAACATTACTACTATAGTGACTCGCAAAAGGATATCTACCACTGTCATGAACAGAATAAATATTATGTTAAAAGCTTGATTATAACCACAATGATTTTGCAGTAATAAAGACAAGAAAAAATTCATAGAATAGATATATAATAAACTATGAAATATGGTTTACGTTATTGATTATGCATATATTGCCAGTCTACAGACAGAATTCCCAGATACACATAATAATATATAAATTTGGTCATATTTGATATTTTTCCAGCTTCAAGTTATTTAAAAAGCATATACTTATGCATTAAAAAATTCTTGGGGCGCCTGGGTGGCTTAGTCGGTTAAGCGTCCGACTTTCGCTTAGGTCATGATCTCGCGGTTCGTGGGTTCGAGCCCCGCGTCGGGCTCTGTGCTGACTGCCGGCTCGGAGCCTGGAGCCTGTTTCAGTCTGTGACTCCCTCTCTCTCTGACCCTCCCCTGCTCACGCTGTCTCTCTCTCTCTCCTAGAAATAAATAAAAATATTAAAAAAAAAAAAAAAAAAAGAATGCTTATGCATTAAAAAATTCTTAATATAGGGGCACTTAGGTGGCTCAGTCAGTTAAGCATCTGACTTCAGTTCAAGTCATAATCTCATGGGTCATGGGTTCAAGCCCCACGTTGAGCTCTGTGCTGACAGCTCGGAGCTTGGAGCCTGCTTTGGATTCTGGGTCTCCCTCTCTCTGCCCGTCTCTACTCATACTCTGTCTCTATCTCTCAAAAATAAATAAATGTTAAAAAAAATTTTAAAAACTCTTAATATGAAGACATATTTATAAGAGAGGAAGACAGAATATATCACATGTGGGCTTTCATTTAAACTCTTTCCCTGAACATTACACATTTTAGGGTGGCCTAAGACTGGCCCCACTGAATTCAAAGCCACTCTCATCGCTCACCTGAATTATTGCAGTAATATTTTAACTGGTTTCCCTGCTTACATGTCACTGTACTTTCTATTCTTAACCAAGTAGTCAGAACAGTTCTGTTGAAACGTAGGTCAGATTGAATCACTCCTACACTCAAAACCGTTCAAAGGTTCCTTAACGTCACCAAAACCAATTTTACAATGGCCTACAGTGGTTCCATACCCCATCATTATAGTTCTGCTTCATTGCCCATGATCCCTCCTAGTTTACTTACTGTTTTCTAGTCTCCTTAGCATTCTACTATTAGGCAAGGCATACTTCTTCCTCAGGGCCTTTTCATTGGTTATCTCCTCTGCCTAGAATGACCCTTTCCCTATAGACATATGGTTCACACCCTCTTCTCTATCAAGACTTTGCTCAAATGCCACTTTCTCAAATGAGGCCCATTTAAAATTTCAAGCCATCCCTCAGCAGTCTTAATTCTTTTGTTGCTTCTATCATTACAGATAATAGTATATATGTGTGTGTATATATATATGTGTGTGTGTGTGTGTGTGTATATATACACCATTTTATATTATATATAATATAATCACTATATATATAATTTATTATGCTTTTTGTCATTCTTCACCTACTCAAACCCTATAATGACTTGGTATTTTTTAAATAAAAAAAAATTTTAATGTTTATTTATTTTGAGAGAGAGAGACAGATAGAGCACAAGTAGGGGAGGGACAGAGAGAAGAGGGAGACATAGAATCTCAAGCAGGCTCCAGGCTCTGCACTCACAGCTTGGAGCGCTGTCAGTGCAGAGCCTGATGTGGGGCTTGAACCCACAAACTGTGAGATCATAACCTGAGCTGAAGTTGGACTCTTAAATGACTGAGCCACCCAGGTGCCCCAAGATGTGGTATTTTTTAAAATGTTGTTTTGTTTGCTGTTGTATCCCCAAGGCCTAGGACATTTCCTGGCACACCACAGATACTCAATAAGAAATATTTGTTGAAAAAGTGAATGAATCCTTCTACTTCAGCCAAAACAATATTCTTATTACTCACAAATCACTATATAATTTCCTTGCTTGGAACCTTTCAGGGGTTCCCCATTGCTCCCAGGGCAAAATGCATACTCTTAATGGCTCATCAGGTTTGCATGTTCTTACAAGGTTTACAGGCTTTGCGTTATCTGTTTTTCATCTCCATTTTCATTCCTTGCCCTCATCCCTACATGTTCCCCAGCACGCAAACTCACTCAGAGTTCATGGCCTAGCCAGGTCAAACGTTCTCATTTCCTACTGTGTACCAGGTCAAGATTTCCTTCAGATTTTGATACCTGAGCTTCTGTCTGCGCACTCAAGCCAAGAGAAGCACGGACTTGAGCATGCGTCCTCTCTTAACCCCATCATCCTTCTGGAATCTTGGCTTTGAGAGACAAAATCTGCTGTAAGATGGCCAACAGGACGAACAGGAGACACCTGTCCCTGATTAATGAGGAATGCGGAAGTAACTGGCTATAAATTGTTCCCCCTGCTAACGCTCTGGGCTCAGACCTCTGGAGAACGATCTCCTGAGCCCACCGGTGTCAAATAAACCTCCTCCCTTCCAAGATCTCCGAGTGCCGCTTGGTTCTTCTGCCGGGTGATCCAGGCCAGATCCCGCAACAGCTTCAGTGCCACATGTCTGTGACTCGCCTGAGAATTTGTTGGGTCCTCCTCATGGGAGCTCCCATAACTCCCTGAACTTCCACCTCAAGGCACTTGCCATACTTTCTTGTAATGCCCGTTCAGGTATCTGTTTCCCCAGGTGGATTTTTGTGGTTCCAGGGAACAGGGACCCTGACAGGCACATCCTCCGTGCTTAGCGCAGTGTCCGGCAATAATAAGCAGTGTTTCAGAGCTAGTGTAGTTTTATCAGCACTGACTGTTAAGTGATTAATCCTAACAAATAACTCTGAGAGGTATTATTACCCTCCAATTTGCAGATGAAAAGAGCAAGGGACAGATATTAAGCAAATTGCCCAAGGTCACAAAGCAATAATTGCCTGAGCCAAGATTTGAACCTGGCCTGACTGCTCAGATTCCGAGCTCTTGCCCCAAACCGCCCTGTTATACTGTCTCTGGAGCAGGGTAAATGTTAAGAGTGCAACACATATTTGTTAAATGAAGGCACGAAGGACAGAGCACACATAGGCTCAGTGCATGGCGCTTCTGGAATACAGCCTCTTCAGGAGAGGCTAAAACTCCCCCGGTGCCAGCAGGCAATGACTTCGCACTCACTGAAAACACAGACTGCCACACCAGGGTGAGTCACAGGTGCCCCATGTTTCTCTATGACCATCGCGACTCCCTGTGTGTCTCTATGCTCTTCCCTCGAAGAACTGTGCGCCGCTGCTGATGGAGTATTCTTTTTTTTTTTTTTATTTCAGAGAGAGAGAGAGAGAGAGAAGCAGCATGAACAGGGGAGGGGGAGGGGGAGAGAGAGAGAGGGAGACACAGAATCTGAAGCAGGCTCCAGGCTCTGAGCTGTCAGCACAGAGCTCGACGCGGGGTTCGAACCCACAAACCGTGTGATCATGACCTGAGCCGAAGTCGGACACTTAACAGACTGAGCCACCCAGGCACCCCGGATGGAGTATTCTTAAGCAAACTCTCCTGTTCCTGACACAGTATTCACATCTGAAAGCAGCAGGCCATCACTGTACTTCAGAAAAAAAAAAATGAATTTCTCATAAGCCTTAAAAGTCATGGATAAGATAAATAAGGGTGAGAGACAGAAAGGGTGTCTTCTCAGCAAAATGAAAAATGAAAACAAAGCTCGCTGCTCTTAGCTGAGTATAGGGACAGTGTTGTGAGGACAGCTTGCTTACTAATTCTCAATACCTTATCAACCTTTTATCCTATTCATTGTTTTTTTTATACGGCCCATTTACTCGGCAGAACCTTGTCCAAATACGGTCGAAAAATATTCTTGAAATATTTGGCGGACCACAAGTGCAGAATACTTGAAAGAAAATGTCATGTTGTGCCCACTTGGGTATATTTTTATACATCTTTTTCCTTCTAAACTGACCAGTGTGGGCTCTGTCTGTCTTCAGTAGCTGTTTGACGGCAATAAAACAGGTGTAGACACCAGTAGACCTCCGGGCCATCCGACAACCTAGGGAATTGGTTGAGAAAGGCGAGTCTGAGTATGTGCTGAAAGGTATTCACTAGAGGGTAGATGGGAGTTTTAGGAAACAGACGGATCTTGACAGCCAGCTTCTCTCCTACGGAAATCATTCACTGTGGGTTACTTAGAGAAGACAGTAAGTTTTTCTACAAGGAGCGATTTTATTTTAGGTCTTGGAGTAACTTGATAGGAGGGAGAACTCTCACACCCTTGGTAATTCACTGATAGAAGGAACTAATTATCCATACAAGCAACTGATTCAGGGACAGAGTATGCCAGAATAGCGATATGGCTTGGCCGAAAGTCTCCAGAATAGAGTGAGTGCCGTTCCCACAGAGAAGCACATAGCCACGTTTCTGATTTAGCTTTTCCCAGGGATTTCA